AACAAATTAATTTAATAAAAAAAGGCATATATACGGTCGAATTGAGAACCTCCTCCTTTTTTTAAAGTCGGTTAAAAAGAGACTGCATGGTTGGCGCGCTGGTTGGGCAACCGGCTGCTGCACAATGTGTCGCGGGTTTGATACCCGCACGGAACAACTCTTTGTGTGATCCACAGATTGTTGTGCCGGGTCTGGGTGTCATGTGTATGTGAACTTGTATGTTTGTAAACGCACCCTCGACACAGGAGATAATACTAGTGTGGGGCAACGCTTAAAGAAAAAAATAGTGTAAAAGCACTCATCTATTAAGTTGAACTTCTGCATTTGTTTGCCATACCTCACCCTCAGCAGCCATTATGCGACGCATTATTTTCGGAGTCAAACGAAAATAGTGAAGTGAAAAATTGCGAAAATTGCTCCACCGAAAATTGGGTAAATTGACGTTATGTGCGAAAAATTCGCGAATATGGATGTTATGAATAAGCAAGCATGTACACGTTTTGTAGTGTGGGTATGTCTTTATACACCCACACAACTGTACAGCTGTGATGCAGTACCAAATATTAGTTTCACTGCACTTTAAAAACTTATATAGAGTTTTATTTCTGAATTCTAAGAATTTCTTTGAAGTTCAGCACTTTATTAACGGGTGCCAAGTACTTTTGCTGTGTGAGCATTAGCTTGAGTTTTAAGATGAGGGCACGTGTATTTATAGAGTGATGCAATGTGCATACCATATTATTTTATAGGTATACTGTCTTTGATCTGATTAATTTGGGATTAAAGAATCGAAGCCAAGTCAATTGATTGGTCGCGGAGAACCTAACGGGTTACCGGGACTACGGCTCGAAGTGCAGAAGAAGGAACGGGGTGGTTTTTAGTCAGTAAGAGTCTGACACTCCCTCCCACCTCACCCAGGCGGGAGCAGTCATTCGACGATATTCCCCCCTTAAAAAAAATTTACTGAAGTTTAGTATCAAATGTAGTTTTCTACATTTTTATAAAACTGTGTGAGTTTTTCTTCAGATTCAGTCAGGTTTGCTTGTGTATCGCAATAGGCTTACCTATTATTACATAGGTCTTAACTGATGAAAAATAGATATTACATTGTAGTATAATAAGCATCTATACTATACCAAACTCTTTGGGGATTAACAGACTACTTTTATGAGTGGATCTCGTTGGCTGCTGGCTGTATAAAACTATACGGTTTACAATAAACCTTTGCTCCCTGTTCAAGTAATGTTGCTCCTAAAACATATTTTAGTGTTTATAAAGAAGAATACACTATGCAGCCTTTTAGCATATGGCACAATGTTCGAATAATTTTTAGTAGAAGGTGCTCAAGTAAATTATACCAATATGATTGTAAGAAAATACAATTTTCTGACTGCATCGTTGTCTTGACTGGGCAATCGACAGCTGCACAATAAATAAATGAATGATCAACCCACGATTTCTGGATTTAGGTGTGATGTGTATGTGAATTTGTATGTTTATAAACAGACCCACAACACATGAGAAAATAAATTCTAGTGTTTCACTACATAGTATAAAATAAAGTCGCTATCCGCTGTCTGTCTGTCCCTATGTATGCTTAGATCTTTAAAACTACGCAATAGATTTTGATGCGGTTTTTTAATAGAGAGTGATTCTTAAGAAAGTTTTATATGTAGAATACATGCATAATGCATATTGCACCCGTGGGAAGCCGGGGCGGGTCGCTTGTATTTTATAAAAGAGAAAAGAGGACTGTAACTGAAGAATATTTTTAGAAATGTAACATTTACATTTTTCTTAAGCTCTAGTGATCCGAAAAGGAGTACACGTCAATTCATTCATGGATTCTAAGCCAAAAAATATCTGGAATGGGGACAGTACAGCAGGCTACACAGCGTGGGTAGGCCTCCCACGGCACTGTCAATCTGGATAAGGGCCAAATAAATTAAAACAGTATTAATTAAAATCGTTAATGGCGTCATATGTAGGTTGTACGATAGGCTTGAAGAGATTCCTATTAGCGATCATGCTGCCCATTATTATATTGACATAGGACACACTTTTTAGTTAATTGAATCATAAATAATAGGTATACTGTAATAATTATAATAATTATTATCGAGCGTTATATTTTTCAGCTTACTTACGTAATTATTTGATGAGGAACTCGACTAGTTTCTATATAAGTAAAACTTAACGTAGCTCATACGACAGAGCAGTAGCAGCGCGACAGTGGCCACGTCGCAGAATGTTGCTTATGAATATGAGCCTCTGGCAGGGCTTGGAAAAATTACATGAGTAAGCTAAAACACATAACAATTAATTTTTTTATAGCTTAAGCCGGTAAACGAGCCGACGGATCACGATGGTAAGCAATCAGCGCCGCCCATGGCACACCACACTCGAAACATCAAGGCGTTGTGCGTTACCGGCCTTTTGGGAATTGGGATTTTAAGGATTGTGGAGAATTCGGGGATTCGGGAGACTAGGGAGGGGGGTAATTGGGCCTCCGGTAACCTAACTCACACGACGAAACACAACGCAAGCGTTGCTTCACGTCGGTTTTCTGTGAGGCCGTGGTATCACTCCGGTCGAGCCGGCCCATTCGTGCCGAAGCATGGCTCTCCCACACTTAAAAAATTACATGAATTTGAGCCTCTGGCAGGGCTTGATAGAATTACATGAGTAAGCTAAAAACGTAACAATTCATTGATTATGTCTCACGAAGGTCATAATAGAAATATTATCGAGTGGTCGCAGGTGCTAATGAGCATAAAATCGCAAGTTCTTTGACGTTCAAAATTTTGTCATAGCATTTTTTAATCAGATCCTTTTCTAGGTATCTTCTGTTTCTTGGCACATAGTGCCCAATGGTAGGTAATTTGGACATTAGACAAAATGAGTCTTTTAACTAAGTAATTAGAAAATTTAATATTTCCATTAAACAAGTTTAAACTTCTGAAGAACCAGCAACACAGAACTATAAAATAAACGATGAATAAAATACAGAATGTATTAATAAGTAAAATATTCATCTTTAACTAAAATGTAAGACTCAATGAGAACATGTCAACGTGGGAGGACCATTCACCAATATTCGGGGAAGATGGTGCAAAGATGTAACGAACATTTTCGTAGCTAAGTCAATTTATTCTTAGCTCAAAAATCATTAAAATAACTCTGAAATATGGAAATTTCTTGTAGATTAAATGTTAAAGAAAATTAGTTAGCGAAATTCCGAGCATGGTAATGATAATATCGTGTCCTAAATAGCGAGCGTACATTGATATTG